GTATGCAACCTTCAACCGACGGTTACGGTCACGCGAGTAGAGGTAAACGAATCCGTATAATCAATTGCGTTTCAAAAAAAAAATAATAATGGCACACTCATACACCAATAATGAACTCGTTGATATGTTGTTAATTTATGGCGAATGTCTTCAAAATGCTACAGAGGCTTCGCGAGTGTATGCAGATCGTTTCCCTAGACGACATCATCCAAGGGTCCAAGGCCCCGCAGATTTGTGTACCTGGTCCAGAGAGTCAGGGATACGGGCCATTTGGAGGAATTTCGAGGTGGGCACAGTGGGAGGCCTAGACAACCACGAATGGTGCAAATTGAGGAAGAACTACTGAATCGCGTAGACGAGAATCCCTCAACAAGCACTAGAAACGTGACTAGAGAAGTGCAAGTATCAAAAACAACAGTGTGGCAAACGCTGCGTGAAGAGGTTTCACGTCCAACGTGTAGAAGCTCTTCAACCTGACGATTTTCCAGCAAGAGTGCGGTTTTGTGAGTGGTTGTTGCATCAACATGACAATAATCCGGACTTTTTGAAGTGCATATTGGTGACAGACGAATCTACGTTCACGCGTAATGGGGTGAATAACTTTCGCAATACTCATGTTTGGTCAGTAGAAAATCCGCGCGCTGTCCGTCGGGCACATTTCCAACAAACATTTGTAACGGTTTCACCGTCCGATCGTATTTATTAAATCACTTCTCGATTATCATTTCATTAATCCCATCTCTAGCTTTTTTGCTTGGAAAATTTTCCGCTTGGAGCGCTTGATGCGGAGTTCCTGATCTGCGATCTTCCTCGCGCTTCCTTTTCACTTGAGCCGCCGATCGAACAAAGGCTAGAAATTTCTTCTCAGTAGCACAAGGTTATATAGCACCATGTGCTAGAATTTTCTAGAATGTGTGTCCGTATAGGACAAAAATGGTGAGTTTTATAATACTATACAGTTTTATTGCTGGATCTGCCTGTAGTTTATAGATAATCGATATGTAAGTGATTTATTTCTTGTACGATTTTAAAATATCCATCGAACGTCATTTTCGACTACTTCGATCATTCGCCATAACTTTAATCAAATCGAGGTGGAAATCGATCCACATCGATTTTACCTCTGTGCGCGTATATATATTCATAGTTCAGTGAAATTATAAGTACGTTGATTATGAATATTCGATGATTATGTTTTTATATCAGAAGCATGTGGAGAAATTTTTGATGACCACCATCTTGTTCTACGCTTTTTTTGCTATTTCATGATTTTATTTTATGAAAGGCATTTCCAATTTTCGGTTTGATTTTATCAAACTATATAATGTAATTCTAACCTAGAAAATCGTTGGTTCTCTTTTGAGGCAGACTGAGATTGGAAATGCCTTGGCCATTAGGGCACGTTGCTAATGCACACGGTTCTTTTTCAGATTGGGGCCACCCCCTTTCTCTTTCCCTTTCACTTTGCCTAGCCTTGGCCAATATTTTCACCCATGCATGTACCTTGGCAGCGCCATCGCCTTTAACTTCGCCTACAACTGGTTGTGAAGCCACTATATGGAGGTCACCCCTCATAACTGGGACCTCCCCTTCAAGCCCCTGGCCATCCTGGCTTCAGTCGAGTAAAAATGGACCAGCGAAAGATAAGTCGATAGCGTTATAGCAGCGCCAAAGATGTAAAACTTATTTTGTTATTTTTGTAAAATTGTAATGTAATGAAAATGCCTTTTTTTTGTTAAATAAAATCTGTTAAATTTTTGTGTTCTGTTTGTTCTTCTATCCTCTAGCCATGCCATGGTCGACATATAGCTACACGTCTGTAGATGTTTTCATGCCACCGACTGAGCTACCGGAAGCTAATGGTAACCCCCTTTCTGTGATTGTGCAGAAAAGTTGGAATCTTCATTGCATTCCATCTTTTCTGGACTTTTTGCGGAAAGGAAGCGTTACACATTTTCGGTGAATGTTTGGGCTGGCATGGTGAACGGTATGCTCATTGGACCACTTATTCTCCCAAATCGATTGGACGGGATGCAATACCTAGACTTTTTACGCAATACTTTGCCTTCCTTGTTAGAAGATGTGCCATTAAGTGTAAGACAATCAATGTGGTTTCTGCACGATGGTGCACCGCCCCATTTTAGACGCGAAGTGCGTGAGTTTTTGATTGAATTATTTCCGAATAGGTGGATCGGACGTAATGGACCCGTAGCGTGGCCTCCGCGATCTCCAGACTTAACACCATGTGATTTTTTTCTTTGGGGAGAAATGAAACGCTTAGTGTACAAAACTGAAGTGCATACGGTTGACGAACTTCGTCTCAGAATTGAACAAGCTGGTGCTTTCATTCGGAGGGGGGTCTTCATTCTCAATGCCTGCACCGATGCTTGGCTACGTCGTGCACGCACCTGTGTTTTTGAATCAAACGGCGATAACTTCGAACAATACCTATAAAGTACGTTTACCTAAAAACTGAAAACGCGGCAATGCCGTCATATTTGTTACCTCTGTTCGTGGTCTGCACCACCGCCTGCGTCTGCTCGGTAGCGCATCAGCTGATTTCATTTTCTGTTGGAGCGGTATGATTTCGGCAGAGACGTACTTAGCCCTTGTCGTCAACTGGAGAGTAAGTACTTATTCCTTTATTTTTTTTACTTGGTCGCCCTCGTTTCACTACATATTACCTTTGTTGTTTCAAGGGTAGTTGTTTCTGAAAAGGACAACCCCAACTTTGCGGACACCCTGTATATCAAACGCAAAAAAAGGAGCAAGAAAAAGATCCAAATTTTTCGGTGGGCTTTGATGGGCTGTATTTCGGTGATAAATGGTCGCATATAGACTTTAAAAATTAATTCTTCGAGATTCAAGTTTTCAGATTTTTCAGCCAAAAAATTTTAGGAGCAACGGTTGGTCATGCAATTCTAAGAGATAGCGCAAGGTAAATTTTTTGCAAAATTTTTGCCTTCTTCTTTATAACCAACTGGCTCGCAAAGTTCATTTATTCAGCTTTTAAAATCAGGATACGATCATTTGGCAAAGAGGTATCTGTCTTTGAATGAAAAAGAATCCTTTTGTTATGGACCATTGTTATCTCGGTAACCCGTGAAAACACAGAGAATGTAAGGGTATTTCCAAAAACTGGAATAAAGCTCCTATAAGATTTGATTGTAATCTTTCTGAATATTTGTGTTTCCTCGGTATTGAATTTAAGAAAGTAAAAAAGAGTTACATTTTGCATTATTTTGAAAAAGCGACCACATTGAGGTATAAAAAAGGAAACAAAAACTATATTTCCTCAAAGATTGTAATCAATTCTTATATGAGACTTATCAGTTTTCGGAAATACCCTTACATTCTCCGTGCGATCAGTGGAGACTCAAAAAACACGATATTGAAGCTGAATAAACGGGATATCATGGCCTAACAGAAAAAAATATTTGAAGCCCGTTGACTAAAAAGAAGAAGGCAAACATTTTGTAAAAAGAATTCCTTACGCTATCTGTTTGCATGAGAACCGTTGCTCCCAATTTTTTTTCTGCTTAAAAACCAGAATACTTTTTGCAGTTTTGAAATGCCTTTTTTAAAGACTAGATAGGTATCACCATTTTTCACCGAAATACAGTCTATCAAAAATCACTTGCTTTTCGGGTAGTGTACTTATTTGGACCTAGTCTGGCGCAAACTTAGAAATATCATTAGAATCAGCAATCATAGACTATAAAGGCAACAGACACAGGGATTGCCTCGCCACCACATTGGTTTATCTTAGTTTTCCTTGAATCAATTCAGATTTTATTGAGTAGTCTCCAATCCCCTCGGATTTCTAAATACCGAAAACCAATGTCCTCGGTCGACTGCTATAAGGATCTTAAACATACTTTGTTGATCCCAATTTTCAACGGTCCAAAGCTAGCAGAATTGGGAGATGCGTCTTCAAGCATATTGTTCCACAATCTTGACATTCCAGGAACAAAGGAGTGGTCGTACTGGATATACGAAGTTCGACAGACTTAGGATGGAAAGCAGAAGCCTGGAAGATCCATCTGACAGGCTCAACGTGCGAGAGAATCATGAAGAAGAGCTGTGAGGGACAAAACATGTCGATCTAGCAGTAGAAGGGAGCTCAAGACTGTCCAAAAAGTGGAATTGATCAGCATCGAATACCTCTGAGCCCTAAATACCAGCAGCTGTTGCGATTGATGAAATGTGTTCGTACCAAATTGAGTCCTCAGTGATATAGATTCCGACCCACTAATCGCTACTAATCTCCTCTCATCAGCAGAGATTGCCTGGCCACATTGAACGCCTGCATGCAGAGTAAGTACAGTGACCACCAAAGCTGATGGATCGTACAGGGGTGGAGACCGTTGATATATAATGTTGGAGCCAAGGATCACCCGATTTGAGTTGAACAGGATAACCCTTCAATTAAGACCGATATCTTGTAACTGAAAAGAAACCTTCTCTGGGAAGTCATAGCATGGAAGCTTCCATGGTATCAAGAGACCTCTCAGGATTGAGAGAGAGAGATAGATGTCCCCGTAGATTTACCCTTAAAACCTCTCCTACAGTCCGGTGTCGAGTCGATACATGCAACGTAGTATAGCGATGGACAAGCGTCGTCCTCAGTGGTCGTACGTCACAGTCGGCAATCGCATCGCACTGCTGGGGGCTGTGTGTAATGTGCATGGTGAAGGCCATGGTTATTCATGCGGGATTGGTCATCGCAACGATCATGTGCGCTTGCAGCAATTCCTCTCAGGGGGAGGAGGAAGATCGTTTAAGTATTTGTAATATATATACGTAGCTAACTTTTTTCTCGGAAGGGCTAACTTGTGCCAAGCAATATGACAGCTTAGCGTGGGAGGTACAGAGTCAACATGCTTGACGCTATTTTTTTATTAGCGTCTGTTTTTAAAAATGTTTCTTGTCCTCTGCTTATCAATCGAGGTACTCTAAGATCCAGCTTCCCCCAATTAAATAAAGGTAAATATACTTACGTGTTAGGAACGTTCCTCATGGCTCTGTGCCGAAGAAAAATGATGACCAATGTACCATTTCCGAGTACTCCTACCACAAAGATGATGAAGAACAGGATGGGTACTATGTAGGTCTCTGGTCGCTGGTCGTACGGAGTATATTCTGTGTCCGGTGATATGGTCGATGTCAAGTTGTAGCCCAAAGAGACGCTCATATCTGAAACAAGAAACAATTCTCATTCACAAATACATACTCGTTCTTACGAGTCCAAACGGACCCCTTCACATTTTGTACAAATGGATCCATAACTTAACTTTCTCAAAATGAAAGGCAAAAATATACAGGGTGTTTCAGTTTATTGTTGCATAACTTCAAGATTCGATAAAACTTTCAAAATTAATGTACAAAGTCTATATAAACATGGGTCGAAAAATGCGTGGCTTCCGAAATACAGGGTGTAAAAATGTACTTTCTAAAATAGTTTTTTTAAAATATTTCGAACAGTATTTGATGTATTACAGTGAAAATTGGTATACAAGGGTTTTTTGGTACGACAAAACGAACCATGGTCATAGTTTTACTGTAGCCACTAGAGGGCGCTCTCTACTGTACCTGTAGTGTATTAAAATGACCGAAAAATTTTTCTTACTGCAATTTATTGCTTTTTGAATAAAAAAACTGATTCTTCGCACTTTTCAACATAAAAAAGCTCTCCTGTGAATTTTCGTTATAATTAGCCGTTTTTGAGATATCTCGATTTTTAAGGTTCGATGCATTTTTAATAATTATTTATGGGACGTCTATGGTCATTTCTAAGATCACAGTGAACATGGCTTGCGGAAATTCCCAAGGCACCATTTTCAATTATTTGGCGATGCACTCTTACAAATACTGAGCGAATTGGATGTCGTCTGTATGGAAATCTTCGTGCGTATTCTCTTGCTGCTTCTGCTGCGTTTCCATTTACAAAGCCATACACAAAATGAATATCCGCTAACTCTTGATTGGAGAATAAAAATGGCATTTTTATAAAACTTACAAAAAAAAAAACAGGTAAAAGAAACTAAATTTCGTGCATGCACAATTGCAAAAAAACGTTTCAGGTTTCAACAGACAACAAAACTAACTGTCAACTAATTGATGTTTAACCTTATTCTGCTTTCAATTTCAAAAATATTCGCAGGCACAGCCTACTTCTAAAAATTATCGAGATACTGACTTCTTAACGTTATTTTATCATAAATAATTAAAAATGCATCTAACATTAAAAATCGAAATATCTCAAAGCGGCTAACTATAACGAAAATTCACAAGAGAGCTTTTTTATGTTGAAAAGTGCGAAGAATCAGTTTTTTTATTCAAAAAGCAAAAAATTGCACTAAGAGGTACAGTAGAGAGCGCCCTCTAGCGGCTACAGTAAAACTATGTATGCAAGTTATGCAACAATGAACTGAATCACCCTGACTACCAATAAAAGTTTTCGGTACCGTTTACAATATTGTTCATTTGTTTCATAGGACAATTTGGACAAAATGTAAAGGTGTCCGAATATTTAGTTCTCTGTGCTCGTATACAAAATGTTGGGTTATAAATTGTTCAGTATACTGATATTAGGAGAAATTAGGGAGATTCCTTAAGAAAATCATAACCATCGTTAACGACAAAAAAGAGTACTTGTGAGCACGGATTCGCAGAAACTGACATTGTTGTCGCATAAAAATAAAAGAAATTAAGAAAATAATGCACCGAATCAGTGCCTGTCTATAAATGATAGTAATTGTTACTAATGTAGTAATGTCATTAATAAATTTCAACTAACTTGGAAATACTTTTTACTTGGTTTTTTCGTAATGCTAGGGGCCACGAGGCTTAATGGAGAGTTACTCGAGCAATGTAGAGACCTAGTGGGCTTTGAAGGTTAGATGGCTTTGGAAATAAAAGTTAGATAGATATAGTAGACAAAGTGGCGTGCACGTCATCAAGGTGGGTGTGTTGAAAAATTTACATTGTTGTCAAACTTTTTGTAAAATAATAAAATTTATTATTTACATATCTAGGTTTATAAGCAATATTAACCTCAAATGAGAACAAAAATAATAGTATAATAAAATTATAGATCTGTACTTGCATAATCATTAAGTATGACAATTATTGATCAGATGACACTATGAAACTACCATATTTAATTGATAGCTTAAAGGTACTGAATAAAAATCCAAATGGGGTCCTCCAAATTTTATGCATGGTATTTATTTTACAGAATTCATACAGAAAAATGCATTCTAAAATTAGGTAAGCTACTGGTGTAAGCTTTTTCTGTACAATAAAGTTAGTCGGAGTTTCTTTCTTCAGCGCTGTCTGAATCTGAATCTTCATCACTCTCAAAGTTGATTATTAAAGGTTCGATGTCTGGTCGATCAAAAATTCGTTCTCTTTCATACCATTTAAAAATTTCTTGCTCAGTATGTCGAACACTATTTTTCCACATGTCTGGGGTAACCGTTTGTAGAGCCTCGTTCCACATATCCAAACAGTCTTTTTCACTGTTACCATCTCTACCAATATGTCTGTTATAGTAACCTTTTGCTATGCCCCAAATTAACTCAATAGGGTTAAATATACAATGGTAAGGAGGCAGACGAAGAACTTTGTGCCCATGTTGTTCCGCCAATTCATCAATCACGTATATTTTAGGTGGTTTGTTTCTAAAAAAGCAGTTATTTTAAGAATAGGAATAAACAAAAGAAATATAAACTGTCGACCAAAATATATACGTTATAATTAAGAAGCATTATGTACCGAGCAACAATACTCAACAGCTCTGTTTTAAACATTGTGTTTAAAAATGGTATGTTTTGATTTGTCAACCAGTCTTGGATATTTTTTTTTGTCCATGCATTGTTGGGCACTTTGTTCAATATCATGCTGTGATAAGGGGCGTTATCCAGTGTAATCATAGATGGACTCTCCAATTTTTCTAATAACTGATGTTGAAGCCATTTCAAAAAATTGTCCTGGTTCATCTCTCCATGGTAATCGATCAATTTTGTTTTCGAAGAAAATATCGCTTCACTACCCTCAATAAACCCATTTTCATTTCCAGCATGTATATAATGTATCTAAAATATATTAGTTTTAAATTTTATAGTGCAAATTGTGTAAAAGTACATACCTTTTACCATCTGTTTTAATAGCTTTCACGCTTTTTTGGTTTCCATTTTGCCAAGAGCGACCTATGGTCCCATTTTGAAATATCCAAGTTTCATCGAGGAAGACAAACTGGTATAAGGCCTCAACCTTGGCTTGATTGTATTGCCTTAGAAATTCCACCCTTTTCAAAGCTATACTTGGTAGTTCCATGAGCCCTCGTCGCGGATTGTCCTTAAGCCCCTTAAATCCAAGATCTCTAAGCAACCGCCTTAAAGACGTGGCACTACCATGAAATAATGCCCTATCTCTTAATCGAGACCATAAAGTTTGTATCGTAACTTGTTCTTCTGAAACCATGTGTAATATGACATTATAATTTAGTTAACAAATTAATGCAAATTTCTGATAAGTTATTATAATAAGATCTTACTTTTGTGATACATATTATAGATCACTTCTCGAATGGCACTTGTATCCAATGTCGATGTGTTGGTTACACGTTTAATATAACTCCGCTTTTTCTTGGGCGATTCTAAATTTGCATCACTTTTCACACCCTCGGAAATACGACTAACTGTCCTTAAACTAATTTTTAAAGCAGCAGCAACACGCTACAAAAAATGAAATAAAATTTCACTATTATTAATATACATTACATATAATTATTAGTAACCTACCTCTTGAACAGCATTTAAAGGCAACAAAGGCCCGTTGTTGTCCCTTTCTTGCTCAAAGTAGTGCATTAACGAGGCCACGAGTTCCTTACACCGACTATTTAACTGTTTGGGCATCTTTATATACCAAAATTGCCTTTATCTACTCGTAAAATGAATAATTTTGTTTTGAAACAAACAGTTGTTGATTTACAGTATGCGGGGCCAAAGGATTTATAAAGATTTGAAATGCCACAAATTGATTCAGTGTCAAAATTAATACAAATGTCAGTTCCCAGTTTAAATAAGTTTCAAGGTGACAATGTGTCAACGCTGCGAAATCGGTTTAGTGCGTTTACATGTCGATAAGTGATTGGAGCGTTTGCAAAACATTTTATTTCGCATAATGCGTCTAAATTTATCAGAAAGCAACTTATGTGATATTTTAATAAAAATGTTTATATGACTATTAACCATAATAAGAGAGTAATGACCATTTTACAATTTATATATCACATTAATATGAAACTGCAATAGAGCAATTATTTGTGATAGAAACCTAGGCATTAGGTCGGGGAATTTTTATCGTGATGACGTGCACGCCACTTTGTTTGGCGTTGACTATACATATATATAGATACATTTATTGCCTTGTAGATCATAAAATGACATAAGACTCGTCCTACGAGTAGGTGCATAGTACACATAATTAAAAGAAAAACATAATTATAAATAAAACATAACATAAAAATTTACAAAGTACAAACAGGAACAAGTGAAGGCGTAGACATTCACATATAAAAAAGTTTTAAAAATTATATCACAATGCGACGTATTCAGACAAAGAGTAGAAGCATTTTTCAACTAATAATTTTCGTAGTGGACATTTAAAACTAGCAATATTACTGACATTCCTGAGGTTATCAGAAAGCTTGTTATACAGGGTGGCGCGTCGAAAGCGAAACATACGCATTTACTGGCAGCTCATTTTTTTTTAAAGATGCTCAGACCCGTCGATTTTGTTTCCGAGGGGGACACAAGTTTGGCAAAAAATCACGTTAGCACGTGCAGCCCCCTAAGCGGTGGTCACACCACCCCAAAAATCTTAAATGGAAAGGGGGTCGAGTGATACCTTGTTTTAAAGGTCTTTCAATTCCCTTTATAATGATATAAAATTGATGTACTTCAGTTAAGTAGTTTTGAAGATTTATTGATTTAAAGCTTAAATAAAACTAATACATCATCATTAGTGGAGATCAACATTTGGCAGCAAAGTAATTTAAAAATGAAGAATGAACTGACCCGTTAGGCAAGTAAATGTTGAAAATGGCCACCATGACTCTCCATGCACTAATAAAGATTTTGCTCAAAACGTTGCCGCACATTTTGCAATATTTGAGGAGTAATTTGAAGGCACTCATTCACAATTCTTTGTCGCAGGTCTT